GCAGAACTTGAAGCAATATTATTGAGTCACCATGAGATACTTGATGCAGCCGTTGTCCCGTGAGTCATTTTTCATTAACGGTGTAAAAAATATTTATACTGAAGATGTATAGTACTTAAACGAATAAATTATTATTATGCAGACTAGAAGATGAGGAGGCAGGACAAATACCACTGGCATATGTTGTAAGAGCAGCCAATTCTGGTCTTACACAAGACCAAGTCATTCAATTTGTTTCTAGTCAGGTTCGAGTTCAGAACTCTACCATATTTCATGATTTAATTATTTATTGATTAGATATTTTATTATTTATACCTTTTTAGTTTGAATACATATATGAGTGTGTGTTTGAACCTATTTACCTTTAAAACGATACAATTGAATTTGAACATGTGATTTAAGGACATATAGACAACATCCGCCCCTAGGGATAGATGTATCTTGGTTCGTTGCGTTCAACTAAATCCAATATTTTTACATTTAGTAAAAATATATGTGAAATTAAAATTACGAAAAATTATTAAATTTTAAAGTATAATGCATTCAATTATAAGGATTAAAGATTAAATTTAAATTTTAAAATTCGACGTTTTCGTGCAGGTAGCGCCATACAAGAAAGTAAGAAGGGTTAATTTCATCAATGCCATACCAAGATCAGCAGCAGGGAAAATTTTGAGGAAGGAATTGGTGCTTCAAAGCAATATGTCAATTTTGTCAAAATTATAAGCCGGTTTAAACACATATTTCGATTAAATGGACGCACCGATAGTGTGAAAGATATTTAAATCATTCGTGTAATTTTACATGTTGTAACAGGTCATTTGTCATTTTACGGTTATGCTACGAATAAGCCAATAGGATCTTTCACATATCAAAATGACACAACATGCTTAGTTTAGTAACATGTTAATGAAAAATGTGTCACATGTACAAGTGACATGTTCCAGCCAATCAAATGTCTCCATGCCAACTTCGATCTAATTGGTTGTAAAAAAAATTTCTTTTTCTCATCACAACTCTTTCATTCCACAATTACAAATAGGAATCTCATAATTCAGAAATGACATCAAAATTCTAATAAGAAATTAGAGAGAGCTCGTAGATTAAATAATATATAGTGTTATTTTTTATTTGTTGGTACTAATTAGGATAGATTATGAAAAATTCTCTTATTTGTATTGTATTTATGTTTTCCCCAAAACTAAATAGTACCAAATTATAAATAAGTCCAACATTCAAATCCTAGCAATACAAAAGCCATCGACTTTGCTTTCTTTGACGGCTTCACAACTCTTTGGGCTACATTTAAAGTTGTATGAAATCGGCTTAAACACACAACAAAAGGAAACATCGGCCTTTAGAAATTTGATTAGAAAGTATTGATTTCTTCTTTTGTTGGTGATTTATCATCTTTGAAACTTCGATTTGAATGATATAACTTCTCTTCTTCTATATTGTTAAGATTGAATATTGGGCTTATTTATAAGTTGGTTCTATTTATTTCTGAGAAAAACATAAATACGCTAAGAGAAATTTTCATAATCTACGCTACTTGGTACTATCCAACAAAAAATAACACTATATATTATTTTTCTTTAAAGTATTTCACTTAGAATTAAGACAACACGCCCCTCTCCTTTTTGGTGATCTATATAATATATAATAGATTTTGATATTTCTTTAATTTTTTCAGTTGAAAGTCATCGCTAAAAGGTTATACCCTTTGATGTTAGGGGGTTAGACTTGACCCCTGTCATGTCAATTTCTCTTGAAAAGCATCAAAAATTCGATATCCAATTCAAACTGTAGCAATTATAGAATTAAATTCAAAAATACAGTATTCAAATCAAAACTATTGTAATTTAAGTAAAATTTGCTTTTTTGACACTAATTATAAATATATGTTAATTATAAAAAAGATTTGAAACCTCCATCGAGATACACACCTGAAAGAAAGAATGAGGAGAGGAGCAATGTCACAAAATGAAAGGTAGATGGAAGGAATTCTTACTTCTTTAAAATGTAAGAATTCCATATGAAGACTTAAAAATGAAACTTATCTAGTTTAAATTTTGAATTCAACTCCGAGTGGAGGTAAAAAAATTTGAGGAAGGATATAGGTGCTTCAAAGCAACCTGCCAATTTCTGTTAAAATTTTAAGTTCACTTCCCATTTTAATTTGTCCTTAGAAACACATATACTAGTTATTACTTATTAGCATCAACAAAATAGACGAAGCGATAGTGTGAAAGATATTTATGCTATTAGTGTAATTTTACCTATTATAACAGGCCATTTGTCATGTTTTACAAGTTATGTTATGAAACGCCATTTATTGCCTTAAAGTGACCGAATAGCATAAAATATGCTTTCACTATCGGTACATATTAGTCAAACTCACAACTCAAACTTGTATTAGTAACTAGATAGTGTTGCTCGTGCTATGCACGGGCCCAATAATATAAATAGTATATTCTGGGGCTAATAACCAAATTTTTGAAGCGATTGTTTGCGTAGATAAAGGAATAAGTTTTTTTATCACAAACATGTACTTTCTTTGACACTATTTAAGGCATAATAAGACTACCCACATACAACATTTTTGAAATATTTTATGTTGTCAATTATCATGATTTATAGTATTTTTACGATAGATTCACTTCAAGAATCAGTGGAATTTTTTGTATTTTTTTTCAAAGCATATTTTATGTTGTCAATTATTATGATTTGTAGTATTTTTACGCAATTTTTAAATATAAAAAAATAAGACAAATAAATTAAAATGGACCCAATATATGTTATTTTTGTTGTCTCAATTTATGTGACACAAATGAAATTTGGAGAGTCATCCAAATTTTCATATTTTTTTTAAAAATGTTTGAAGTTATTAATTATTGTGATTTATTATATTTTTATGTAACTTTGAAATAATGTACATTACTGGTCACTTTGTCCTAATTTATGTGATAATGGATAAAATTACAAAATTAACCCTTTTAAAATGTCTTTCAGATATTTTAAGTTGTTAATTATTATTATTTGGTAATATTAAAATGATATGTGTTATTTTTTCTGTCCCAATATATGTGAGCCTGATAGAATTCTGAGAGTCAACCTATGTTATTATATAGCTTTTAAATATTTTAAATTGGTAATTATTGTAATTTTTAATGTTTTTTAAGTCATTTGTAAATGGTATATGTTGCTTCCTTGATTGGGACTTTTCCATTTGTGAGATATATATATATATATATATATATATATATATATATATATATATATATATATATATATATCGTGCTATGCACGGGCCCAATAATATAAATGGTATGTTTTGGGGCTAATAACCGAGTTTTTGAAGCGATTGTTTGCGTGGATAAAGGAATAAGTTTTTTTTATCACAAGCCTGTACTTTCTTTGACGCTATTTAAGGCATAATAAGACTACACACATGCAACATTTTTGAAATATTGTATGTTGTCAATTATCATGATTTATATTATTTTTACGATAGATTCACTTCAAGAATTAGTGGATTTTTTTGTATTTTTTTCAAAACATATTTTATGTTGTCAATTATCATGATTTATAGTATTTTTACGCAATTTTTAAATATATATAAAAAACAAGACAAATAAATTAAAATGGACCCAATATATGTTATTTTTGTTGTCTCAATTTATGTGACACAAATCAAAATTTGGAGAGTCATCCAAATTTTCATATATATTTTTTAAAATGTTTGAAGTTATTAATTACTGTGATTTATAATATTTTTATGTAACTTTGAAATAATGTACATTACTGGTCACTTTGTCCTAATTTATGTGATAATGGATAAAATTACAAAATTAACCCTTTTAAAATGTCTTTCAGATATTTTAAGTTGTTAATTATTATTATTTACAATACTTTTTTGGTAATATTAAAATGATATGTGTTATTTTTTCTGTCCCAATATATGTGAGTCTGATAGAATTCTGAGAGTCAACCTATTTTATTATATAGCTTTTAAATATTTTAAAGTTTTTTAAGTCATTTGTAAATGATATATGTTGCTTCCTTGATTGGGACTTTTCCATTTGAGATATATATATATATATATATATATATATATACATCTACTATATAATAAATATAATATATAATATTCAAGATTGGGAAAGTCCCAATCTTGAATATTATATATTATACTTGGGCCTAAACTCTCTTTTATAATATAGTAGAATAGAATAAAACTATTGAAAATCTTCTCCAGTATTGTCCCTTTCCCTACTCCCAATTCTTTTTTTTAAAATAAAAAAGGAAATCATAAAACTACACAATCTTATTGGATTTAAACAAAGGGAGGGATTACTAACACCTTGTTTGGATGGTTGTTACTTGTTGTTGTATTGTTAGTTTAAATACAATGTTTGTTTTGATTGTTACTTCAATTCTATTATCATATCGTTTAAATCCATCGTTATGTAACGACGAAAACACTCATTCTATGTAACGACCGATTTGGTGTGATCGCGTTGTTACCTTAATATTTTCTTCTCATTTTATCTTTATTTATTATTTAATAATCATATTTCATCTTTCATCCTATCTTTTCATAATAGATCTACCCCTTAAGCTACTTTTCTTGTAGATTTGTTACTCAAATTATGAAACGGCAGAGAACAATACAATTTATCCAAACATTGTATTCATTAAAACAATACAATATGATACAATACAATACAATACGATACAATACAACACAACACAACACAATACAATACAATACAATACAATACAATACAATACAATACAATACAACACAATACAACACAATACAATACAATACAATATGAAACAATGCGTACAATCATCCAAACAAAGTGTAAAACATACGATTTAAAATGTGAAATGATAAATGAAACAAAAGGCAAAAAAGTACTTGCAATATTATTTCTTACAAGATTCTTTAAGGAGGTCCTAAATATAGAAGTCCTCTGGCTCTCAAGAATAGTTTACATTGCAATGGAGTTCACAAGCAGAGCAATAATGTGAGGTTTTATGACTTTCTCCGGATGTGTGTATCCATCTTGATTGTGCTTGTATGTCACGTCAATGATACGAACAAGATTGAGAATACGAGTTAAAATTTCTGTAGAGACAGGACGAACTGGCCAAAGCATTCCTTCATTAGCATCCTTCCATGCTGTCTCTCCCATTTCTTGAAATTTATTCATTGCCACTTCTGTTGATACACCATAATCTCTCATGTAACACTCGATTCCCGTTGCAATTTGTCCCCTGTCTTTCTCAATCTCGTATGTTGCTATGTCATCAGTAACGCGACAGAATGTTGCATTAGCTTCAAGAATTTTAGGATTCGTTGACAACCACTCGAAATCTTGCTCTGTAGCTGACTTCATGCCTAGATATGCCGCTGTTGTGACCAAATAATAAGTGCTAGTTACTAAAGCATTGCTTAAGTACTCGGAAACAGAAGGCATATGTCCTTCAATAAACCATTTGGCCTCGACGTTATAGCTTCTCACTAGCTCTTTCATCTGTGAACACAAAACATATGAAAGTTAGAAATGGAAATATGTAATTAATTCGATATTTAGGTAACTCAAACGTACTCTTTCTTTCGCGTGATAGACAACATGAGATCTTCCATCACTAGACAATTCCTTTTCGTAATCATCAAAAAGATCAAGAAGAACTTTATAGCTGATTTTCATGTAATCAGGGAGACGATCAATTTCGTTGATATCCCATCTATATGATAACAAAGAAATTATGAATTAATTATACATAATAAAAGAGTGTAAAAATATAATGAGCAAGAGCCATCTTATACCTTTGTATGGCATCAGTGTATTTTTCAAGTTCTTTAACTGTACCATACGCATCAAAAGTGTCGTCAACAATTGAAGTAACAGCAAGAGTCTTGGTAAGAATAACGCGAGCTTGAGAATATTGAGGCTCAAAATACACCCCTAATGCCCAAAAATAACATTCAACTACTCTGTCTCTAGCATATGGAAGCGTCGTCACAAAATCCAAATCCTTCCACCACCTTGATACTTCAGCAAGTTCTTGTTTGTGAAGCATTTGGAGCAAGTTGAAATCCAATTTGGCAAATTTAAGTAACGCATCGTTCTTTGATTCCTCTTTCTCATAGATTGAGCATATGAAGAATCGAGTCTCTACTCGAGGAATGCCCTTGTGCAAAGATTGCTCAAGGGCATGTGTTACTTGCTCTTTAAGAGGAGAGTTCAAATGTGGAGTCGCGGACTCAAGATGAGTAGTGGAGAAAACAAGTGCATCTTCTAAGATATCTTCACCATGTGTCCTTACATGTGAAGCTTCGTATAAACTCAATAATCCTAAAACATCATCATCACTAGCACGCGACTCCTTGAATTTTCCATTCCCATCTTGAAATTTGCTGAAAAAATCTGTTTTTTTTTTTCAAAGGAAGAACACACGCGATTAGGCTTCATGCAAACATACAACGATTATAAACAACATCAAACGCGTACTCCATAATGGACTTACCAGGAGATATGTTGTAACCGTGTTGCCTTAGCAATCGAAATTGAAGTGCAAAAGTGGATAAATCACTATAGTCATCACCCTCAAAGTTTGCATTTTCAGTGTAAATTCGATCCAATATCTCATCGATTTCTTTCTCAAAGTGGTATGCTATGCCAAGACGTTGAACAACGTCAATCAAATTCAACGTCTCAGCCAATTTCCTTCCATTAATAGCTAACAACATACTCCTTGTTTCTTCCTTCAATGCTTCAATCTCTTGAGCATATTTTTGTGCAACCTATAAATGTGCCCAAAAAAATTAATCAAATTACATTTTCCGACATATAAACACACAATAAAGATCGAAAACATAATAGATCATCAGACGGAGCCAATTTTAGGAGTTTGGGGGTTCTAAATCAATTTGTTTGGGGCTTCACAAGTTAATAAACATAAAAATAAAAAATAAAAAATTCTAATACAAATATAGGGTCTACGAAAAAGCTAGTGGGTTCGTCCGAACTCATGAACCCCCACCTAGCTCCGCCTCTGATCATGTATATATGTAACACGAAACTATATATATATATATATACGTACATGATTGTCGATGGAGAAAGAAAGGAAACGATCGCCCCATAGACTAGGAGAGAAGTTGGCCACGGGGCGAACAATCTCTTCTTCTTCTTCTTCAATATGGTTCACAAATGCAGCCATTGCTAATAATGAGAGTTTTGTTGTTGTTGTTTTTTGCTATTTTGAGGAATAACTCAATGCAAGCTGAAAACTGATGACTTAAATGGAAGAAAAGGCACAAGTATTTATAGCCATCTTTTTCTATAACCAAACCAAACGAAATGAAAAAATAACCGTCGGTTTGGTTGGTTTTTTCGGTATGAAAGTAATAAATTTATTGAGGCTTACGCATCTTGATAGACACAGACCTAGCACATGAACAATCACCGGAAAACTAATATGGATTCAATTATCATTACTACGAACAAAGTGATTCAGTTAAGAATAAGGGTGAATATCTGATGTGAGGTATGGTAGGTAAAGACTAAAATAATGGATTTCATTAGACTTGCACTTGGGATTTAAATAGTTGGCCTAAAATTTTATTGTTGGGCGTAAGAAAATGATAAACTTAAAGAATTAAGTTAATTAAAATTTAACAACATATTTATATTTTACTTATGAATAATATATAAATAATTTTAAATTTTATATATAAAATTTCTCGGTTCGGTTTGATTACTTTTATGATTTTTTTTAGTAAAATCAAAACCAAATCAATTAGTATTGATTTTCAAAAATTTAAAAATTGAACCACACCAAATGTCAATTTTTTAAAATAGCTTGATTCGAATTACAATTCAATTTGATTTTTTAATCATAACTATGAATAACCTGATTAGAGTTGCCCTACTTTGACAATAATTAGCTAGAATCCACTAGGGCAGCACATATTTTGATTTCTTTAATTAATTAATTTCCTCCTAGTATTAATGTCTTCTATTAATTTTTTATCATTTTTTTTTTTAACTTTCTTACTTTCATTTTTTTTAAGATGATTGTGGGACAGCCCCAAAAGAATGTTACGACCAATTTGTCCATAGAGGCGGATAGCTAGAGTTTTAATTACATATTTGACAGAATTTATAGCTTAATTTGGTTTAAATTATATATTTAACACTAAGAAATCATTTTTGTTTGCAGTAAGATTTTCCTCTCTTTTTTTCAAAATAGGCGGTATGAAATATTCTCTTCCTTTTTTCTTTTCAAAAAATTTGTAGAGTATGCATATTCTTTTTTTTTTTGTTTTCCACCCGATGTCCGGAGCCCACATTGGACCTCTGACTAAATTTGGGTCGCGCTCTGCAGGGCCCATTCGAGGGTGACGCTCCCAACAAGATTTTCTCCATACCCTGAGTATGCATATTCTCTTCAAAATGTGTAGTACTTTTTAAGTGAGAAAATTGTATATAATAGCAAACTATTAATTCAAATTAAATGTTATAAATATACTTTGATTTAATTGTACCCTATAGCAAACTATTGCTATTTCGCCACTGTCCCTGGTGGAATCTCGCTCGCCACTCTCGTTTGGTGGCAGTCTCGCTCGCCTCTCTCGCTTTTATACAAACACAAATGTATAAAATGTGTTTGTGTTTGTATAAAGCGAGAGGAAATTGTATAAATACATATATTTTCGTTTCCCTCTCTCCCCTCTCCCAGATATCAATCGCCACTCTCCCAAATCTCACTCGCCACCCTCGCCTCTCTCGCTTATACAAACATAAACGAAATTTATAAATTGCACTTCTGTTTGTATAAAGTGAGAGAAAATTGTATATACACATGCAAATACATATATATTCATCCTATACACTTATAATTATACAATACAAATATTTCCCTGCCCAGTTTTCTTTTGCCTTTCTCTCTTTCTCGTTTTATACATACATAGATTATACAATTGATCGTTTGTATATGTCACGCCCCGAGCCTATACCCTGGACGTGACTGGCACTCGAAGACCATCACTGGCCCCCAAGCGAACCCTTGGCCTGGCTTTCTTAACTCAGCGGAATAACTCAATGCAATGCAAGGTTTTAAAACAACCTGACTGAAATAAAATCTGGCCACAAAGGCAACTCAAGTCTCAAAATAAAATATTTACATATATACATAGATGAGAGACTCCAAACCAACTGACTGACTGTCTATGAAGCCTCTAAAATACGGAGAGGGATGCTGGGACAGGCCCCACGACATCCTCATAAAACAAAACTTGAGAGAACAAAATAACCGAGTCCTCCGGAATGCAAAGAGGCTCACCACTGACTCTGAAGTACTCAACTGGATCAACGGCGAACCGGATGCTGGCCCTGGGTACCTGTGTCTGCATCATAATAAGATGCAGGCCAACTGGCATCAGTACATTGAATGTACGAGTATGCAAGCTGGAAAGCTAAACCACAACCAAGTTTGAAAAGAGTACAAAGGAACTCTTACCTTGGCTCTGTACAACTCATGAATAACTGAACTCAATATATAAAGCAATAAGATACATGCAATATATAAAGCTTGTGAAACAGTGTAAACAATTTAGCTTTGCTAAAGATAAAACAATAACAAACTCAACTTTACTTATATAAAAGTAATATAACTTTAGTGGGAGTCTCTTTCACCAACAATCACCACTATGAGCCCTAGTGGTGATACAATGTTTTACCTCACGTTGCCCGAGGACCATTCTATACCTTGCTATCGATATAGGAAGCTAATAATACAACGTTTTACCTCACGTTGCCTGAGGACCATCCTATATTTTGCCATCGATATAGGAAGCTAATGATACAACGTTTTACCTCACGTTGCCTGAGGACCATCCTATACCTTTGCCGTGATATAGGAAGCTAACTTTACCAAGTGGATCCACTAGCTTAACTTTACGGATTCATCTAAAAAGTATGACCCGTTAACTCCCATGTTGGCTACATGGCTCTTATGGAGAGTTGAGTTTATAGGAACTCGCGTCTTCAATTCGGTGTTCAAGACTACTCCCAAAAATACTTAGCTCATAAGTGTTTTAAACACATCTTTCTTTATTTGAGATAATTACTCAAAACTTAGCCCAAAGGCTCTCTTGGAAATCGATGTTCCTTTCTTACTCAAATGTAAAAACATTTAAAAACCTCTTTGGGAAATACATAATTCCCTAATAACTTTCGAGAAATGAACTCGACTTTATGCTCTTGACTCAACTTGAAACTCTTACTTGACTTAACTTGAAACTTGACTTAACTCTTTACTTGACTTGAAACTCTTGGGCCTTAAATAATGAAGTTAAACATTCAATAAAGACTCATGACTTAACTTTAAAACTTGCTTGACTCCCTTCTTGAACTTATAGACTCACCCCTTAACTTCACTTGACTTGGAAACTAACTTTCCTTGAATCGGAATTATGAATTCAAGGTGTTTGATCACATGATATGGATGAGTTCTTGATGTTTAGACATGCCTTGGAGTGTCGAAAATAACTATAAAACATAGGTACAATACCTAGGAACATGCATGAGAGAGTGGGGAAAGAATGGGAAAACTTGGCGCTCTGAGAGGCACGGAGCGCCAAGCCAAAAACTTCAGAGATGGCCTGCTGGCGCTCTGAGTGGCACGCCGCCCCAAGGGGGAAAGTTTAGAGTCCCTCTTGGGGCGCGCTGACAGGCGCGACGCCCCACCCTTTTTCCTCGAAAACTTGACTTTTCTCCTTAGTTTTCTCCAACTCTAAACCTTCTACACCTCAAAGTTTCCATCCCCAAACACTTAAAACTATAAACCTCTCAATATAACATAGATTCAACTCATAAACACCACCGGAAACACACACCAAACCAACAAGAACTACAACACAAGACAACTACAACTTCAACAATTCCAACCAACAACAAAACCAATCTTTTCTCAAATCATAAAAATGAGCTTGGTGTATGGGGGAAAGGATCAACCCACACAAAGAACTCACATACCTAATAGGGATCAACCCACACAAAGAACTCACATACCTAATAGGGATCACCCCCAACGATATCCACGACGAAAACTTGCTTCTTCTTCTTCTTCTTTCTCTCCTCTTCTTTTCTTCTTCACTCTCAAACCCTTACTTTCACTCCTTAAACATGAGGAAAACTGATCACAAATAAGTCTTACACCTTAATATATATCCAAAGACAAGGCTAGGGAAAAGACCAAAATACCCTTACAATTTTCCGGACCGATTTCCTGCCAACTGCCCAACTTTCAAAGGGCATAACTCGCTCATACGAACTCGGAAACGAGTAAACTTTATGGCGTTGGAAAGATCATTCCACGTACTTTGCAAACATAACTGGAACAATACCTATATCATTATGAGCTAGGAGTTATAACTGTTCAAAGTTGGCCAAAAACTCATTATTTTCCATACTTAGCCAAATTTTTCAGATTTGAATTTATTTTTTTTCACATTTTTCCAAAAATGGCTATTTCCAATTTCAAGTTTTTTCAAAGTTATTTCAAATTGTCGGATGTTACAGTATACAACTGCTTCTGTTTGTATAAAGCAAGAGAAAAATGTATATACACATGCAAATATATATATATATATATATATATATATATATATATTTGTCCTATACATTTATAATTATACAATACAAATATTTCTCTGCCCAGTTTTCTTTTGCCGTTCTCTTTTTCTCGTTTTATACATACACAGATCATGCAATTGATCTTTTGTATACAACTGCTTTCTTTTGTATATGTATAGCGAATTATACAACTGCCTTCTTTGTATATGTATAGTGAATTATACAACTGTTTTTTTTTGTATATGTATATCGAATTATACATATATATGTTTGCTATGGAGCGCAATTATGCAAATTTTGCTATAGCATACAAATATGAATTTTGTGTTTGCTATATGTGAAAGTTGCTCTTTTTAAGTTAGGTCAAATCAACTATTTTAAAGTTGGGTCAAATCAACTATTTATTATAGTTTAGTGTAATACAAATACAGTGTAATATCAACTCACGGATCTCTTTTTAATTTTTAATTTACAATATACTAATTTTTTTTTTTACTTTTTAACTCATTTGAATGGTCAATTTATTATTATACAATTTATAGTGTAGTCTAATACAAACAATATATTTAAATGCAACATGAC